CTTACCTGAGTTAATTTGGCACCAACTATTTTATCCAGGTAATATCTAGTGTAAGTATTGTCTATGACCGGCGTCCTGGGGTGGAATTGTTCGTTTAAAGCCGATCAAAGCGGATCACGATATAATCCTTACAAATTCAAGAATCGTTTTTCTTCTGTCCGTAGCAGTCAGTAGTGGAAATGGTTTAAAAATAGTGTGATTTAAAGAAGCGAAATAATTTTCCTGCTATTCCACATGCCAATATATAAATGTGCAGTATTTTAAGCGTTACCACCGAGTGCTTTGTTTTATCCATAACATATTTGCTGTAGCGCATTGTTCATGGTTTATCATATTTGTACTGTTTTTTTTCGTTTCCATTAAAATACACATATCATCATAAGGGTGTTGTCACGGGAATGAGTTCAGAAATTAATTATTGCATTGGATTGGGTAACATGGCAGGACAATTTATTTTTAGGGTCATATCCAAAATTTTAACATCTGACCATCAACCAATGTTAAATAACCCCGTAATGTCCACTCTAGGAGCAGATAAGTAGAATATGTTTCTTAAACCAAAAAATTATAGAGTGAAATTAACTGGCTGAAAGTCCAGGCACATGTTGTGCAGATGCCCCTTTTGCTGAATGAAGCGGCAACGAGGATTTCGACTCATCAGCAGGCAACCGGTGATTCTTGTGTAGATTTTTATCTATGAAATCCAGAGAATGATCAAGTGACTACTTTCACAACGCCAAGGGACACGTGGCACTTGAGGACAGAAGAAATTGAAGTCCCTTTTGCACATTTCGGATAGGTCAGACATCGCCAACCAATGCCTTTCCTGTACGTACGACCAGCGGCATTTTACCTCAGTTACCCATAAATAATCACACTCGCAGATGCTTCTAAGAAGTCATGATGATGAAGTCGATTGTGATGGTTTCCTTCTTACTGTTTCTACTTATTCAGTGTGAATGTGCCATTATACCTGCTCGGGCTCCAGGACTTCGGCTGATGTTCCTTCAACCCAGTAGCATCTGTTTATTGCAAACGCGGGCATTTGATTTTTTTCGTTTCATGCTGGCTGCCGTCAAATACAACGGAAAGAACACTGAGGGTCTCATAAAAGAAGGTGAAATTCAAGCATTAGTAAAGTTAATTCCGGGTTGTTCATTGACGGAGAAACACCGAATAGAAGAGGTTTTACGAGTTTTGAAACTAGCTGCGTCCGAAAGTGAAGCGTTCAAAGGTAACACTGTTTACATTGGACCAATATCAGGCAGCCCATGTGCACTCATCAGTGACGTGTGGCTCAAAATAAAAACTGGTGCAAGCAACTTACGCCAGCCTCCGGCAAATTAATTATGCGTGTGTGGCTGACGGTTTTGTCAGGTTCTATTCCAATATTCCTCCGAAAAGGAATAATACAGATCTGCTTAATAATTTGGCATCTGTGACCATTAGCATTCCCAGCGAAGAACTCTACAAATCGCTAAACATTTTCTTACGGCAACAGGGTTGGAGGAATATCGCAATCCTCTATGAGAGAAGTGAGCTGGCGTTGGACTATGAGGCTATCGGTGAAACAGTTGCCTATTTCCTTGCGAATACAGATAAACCTAAACTGAATGTCATTTTACAGGGCAGTCTTCTGAGGGACAGTGACCCTGAACGTATTGTCAGTCGATTCGCAGTTAAGTGTCATGGTAAGTTTTATTTTATCTGCGGTTATGCGAAAATAATATTTCCTTTGAAACCTACCATATATTGTGTGTTGTAGCCATGCATGGGCTGAACTATCGTGATTTAAGTGTCATACAAATAAACAATAAATAAATCACAACGGACAACTCACGGCGATTTGGGCACCGATGCATGTTTCCGTCGCGTAATTAAGTTTGTTTTTAAATTCAGCTTACCAACTGTTTTGCTTTTTTCAAGTGCCTTAAACTCTTATATTCCAAGTAACAACGATCCCTATGATCTTTCGCTGTCAGAGAACCGTATACTAGAATATTTGTATATGAATATGAAAAAAAGGACAGGAGTTGTACTGTTTAGAGGCTCCAAGTAAGGATTCGTGATTCCAGTGTCTAATAAATAGAGGACGTCCGAAGCACTGACGCATGTTTCCATCGTGTACTATACTTCTTTATTGAAATTCAGCTTACCAACTGGTTGTATATTTTCAAATGCCTTTAAATCTTAAATTTAAAGTAACAACGACGTCAGTGATGTTTCGCTGTCAGCCGCCGGTTTGAAGGTTATCATAAACTTGACAGTGTACTGTAACATCAATCGAAGTAGTCCGATATCTTTTCTTCCGTTTACCTCGTGAAATCGAGATTGCTTTGTTATTTGTGTGTCAAAGCCTCACCTCTCTCGCTGTTCACGAGAAGTAATGCAATTCTTAGCACAGAATGCTGATGTGCGTAATTGGATGCGCAGTCACTCTAATCGTTGCAGGCAGTCCTTGGCTATGATTTTAGAAATTGGTGATGACAATGGCTCATTTACCGTCTGGTCATATATTATATCGTCGAGCGTGAAGCAAGTTCTGTGACACAGCCTGCGCAGGTGGAAGATTTTGACGCGTCTGAGTCAAGTTCAAGATTTTGGGTAGTTGCTTTCGAGAAGTAGTCTGATGTTTTCGAATAGCAGGTGATGGAAAATATTAGAAAAATAAAGCATAATAATAAAAATAAATGTTCTGGAGTTACTCAAAGATTTTTTGATTAAATAACTGCTCTATCTAAACCTGTAGCCCATATGTGAAACGATGAATCAACCAATTCGTTAATGCAATATATTTAGACTTTATAACTGTGTTTTTCAGTACCATGACGTGTATGCATCCATATAGGGCATAAGTATGGTGTTCATGCAGTAAATTATGACCTCCCGATGATAATCGGTTGAAGTACGACTGACGACAACCAATAAACCAGCCACTTTTGCCCCATTCTCCCATGGTTTCGATGGTCACGCTTCCCAACCATGCTCTTGTCCTTCTTTCGTAGCCATTATTCGCATTGCACACACACTTACTGGACTCTTTTTCCTGTCGAAAGTCAAGGACATGTCAATTATTCAAAACGGCGACGTTGCCATTGTGATATTTAACCCTGGAAACGTGATCGCCTATGATTCAATGCGTCTCTGAAAACGGGCGCTGGAAAAAAAGCCGAATCTAGGAGCAGCCGCACAGAGCGTCTTCCTCATGACAGGATTACCGTCGAGCTATGGTTTCGACATGAGATCGGAGGTGTTTAATTCTGTATGTTTATGTGGCCGAATCCATTGGTAGTCTTCCACTGCCGACGTATCGCTAAATTGTAATATATTAGTTGGTGCACAGGTACTGGTCAGCAGTGAACCTTTGTAAGCATTATCATCTCACTGTATACTCACGAAGGGGCTTCGCAGTCGGCATTAAAGGGAACGGCGTTTGACCTTTCAGCAAAACATGAATGCACATCAACATGTAATACACCTGTGTTTTTGAGTACCGAGGTTGTTTTAAGTGAGTATCCGTATTGTCATGGATATATATCTAAAATATTCTGATTGTTTGATCAATTTCCAAAATTCTGAATTAAGAGTGACTACAGTTACCTAAATATTATGAATCTGTTGACGTTGACATTTTGAGTAAACCACTTTCCGGTAGGGC